AAAGGTACACTTTCAAATTTGAGATAAAAAAAAAAATACAAAAAGCGCCTCTTTTTTTAGGTGTTTATTATAACACAGACAACATATACAGTTATTTTAAACACTTTCAATAGTGTTTTATGAAAATTCAAAGGGTTTTTTTCTTTATTATATTATATATATTATATTTTTCTTTATTATATTATATATTATTATTAATTTTTTCTTTAAAATATTACCAAATTTTTGCATTTACACCTCTGCATGTGGATTTGAGAAGCTTTTAAATTTGGGTAGGCAAAGTCTATGCGGAAATCCCAAAATAGCACTTGGGTTTAAGAAGTTATTTACCTCATTGTTAGTAGATGAAGAGTGCTCTAGGTGGTCTTTGTTATGATCATATTTACAATCTGATCATAACTGTAAATCTGAAATTGGTTGAAACTATTTATTTAGTGTCATCAAACTGGGATCAAGCTGAAAGTGTGAACTCTGCTGACAGTCAGTCTGTCTGTCTGTTGAGGGTCTGGTGTGTTTGGTTATGGATAGTTCTGTTGCTGTCTGTCCGTGTGCACGAGCAAGCATCAGGATATTACTGTCCGCTTGATCAAACTAATATCAGACATATGAGCGTCAGTAAATTATTTACCTGCTGCTCCGCTAGTGTTGTTTAATATTTGGAAACATCCATCTACATCATGCATCAGTTATTTTAAAGGTACACATTTGTACATAAAGGATATAGAATATAAAATACCCTATAAAGCTTTATATAAAATGTGCATAACTGATAAGTTTACAATATGAAAAACTAAGTTAATGTTAGTTAATGTATTTATTAACATGAAGATAAACAAATAATATTTATTAAAGTATTTATTTATGTTACATTTAATTTATCTAATGAAAAACTGTTGTTCATTGTTGGTGGTGCAACAATAATAACTAAACAAGCACAATGCTTTTAATACTGCATTAGTATATATTACTACAGGTCCTTTATTGCAGATTATTTCAGTATTTCAGTTATTATTTCAGTTATTTCAGCATTTTGTTCTTGCAGTTAAGAGTATCCATATGTTACCAATCAAGTGGATTATTGAATGTATATATATATATATATATATATATATATATATATATATATATATATATATATATATATATATATATATATATATATATATATATATATATATATATATGGATACAGTATATAGTTGAAGTCAGAATTATTAGCCCCTCTTTGAATTTTTTCTTCTATTTTAAATATTTCCCAAATGATGTTTAACAGAGCAAAGAAATTATCTTACAGTTTTTGATTTTTGATAAATTTATGTGAATAATTTTGGGCTGTTTAATTAGTTCATTCAATGGTTACCTTTGAGCATTTGAGTGACTTTACTAAAACATTTTTGCACTCTCTGAAATAAAGGTACAAGAGAGTCACTGTCATTGGAGTGGAACTCTTTCAAAGAAATACATTTGTACATAAAGGATATAAATGTACAATATATACCCTTTATAGCTATATATTAAAAAGAATTAATTGCATAACTGAGTGGGATAATCTTTTTATTGGGTATTCAAATTAATTTCATTACGTGTCAGCATTTTGTTCCATTATAAACTTATTGATTGTAAAAGAAAATGACTTATGCAACTTCCACCACAGCAAAATCAGTTTTTCTTTTTAATATTTGGTTATAGTTTTTCAGAAAATTATGATTTTGACTCTTCTTTGACTCATTGGATGGAAATATAGACTCATTCAGATGTTTTATTCGCAAGTCTTTTTTATACAAGATTTCAGTTTTGTGCATACATTTTAGGGTTGGGCTGATAGACGATTCCATCGTCCATCGCCGATGGCCAATAGACAACAAGATGCTGAGCCGGCATCACGATCCATCGCCCCGCCCCGTTGCAAACCCGCTCGCGAAAAATACACACTCAGGCCCTGTTTACACTAATACGTCTTAGTGTTAAAATGGCATTTTAGAACGAAAATGATCCACATCCACACCGTTTTACCTAGCATTACTGAACAGCCCTCCGTCCGCTGAAAATGCACATCACGTGACCTCACACAAACACAGCCACACGCTGGCATGTGCACTCTGAGCTCCAGGCAGGGAGCAGTGCATGTCGGAGAGTTTATGAAAAATGTACCGCTGGATCGCGTCTTACTACAGTTGTTAAACGTGATTTTCAGACATCCCAAGTCTTCTGGAAGTTCCGGGAGTTTCTATGCATTTGTGGGACACACAATGCCCGCAAACAAGTTATAATCTCCCAGAAGTCTCTCCCTCCCGGTCCTCAAAGAAGTCACGCACTCTTCTCACCCCCGGATCCCTTCTCGCTCTTCAGACACCCAAACCCCACCCCCCACCCTGCTTTTCACATAATGACGATGCCATCGTCCATCGCGATGTTTCACATTCGACATACGATGCCAAATTGGTCGACATCGCCCAACTCTAATAAATTTAATTTGCATGTTTGAATAGAAATATAGCTAAAGACAGCTCTTGATAATATCTTAAAGCTGCATATTATATATCATTATAGTGTTTACTAATATGCAGTGTTAGTTTTACTTTCAAGTTACTTTAGAAAGTAAATGAATGCATTACAATATTGAGTTACTCCCCAAAAAAGTAGTTGCATTACTTTTTATTGTAAGAATTGCATTTTTAGTTACTTTTGCATTACTTTTTTTTTTTTACCTGGTTAAGGCTTGAGCTCTTTCAGAACTTTCTTTTTGGGTGAGTTCTACACTTAACAATGCACTGTATAACCTACACCTTCATTCACCAGATCGAAATCAGAATTCAAAAAAAAAAAAAAAAAATTCAAAAAAATAAACTTTAGGATAATGTTATCTGAGAACTTCCTGACCCCAGAGCTAGACATGCCGTATATACAGATTAATAAAAGTTTAAAGCAATGTGTTTGCTAATTTTGTACGATTTGTTTTAAGTAAAATCACTGTCCATTGAGACAATCCCTTTTTCCTTTTCTTCGAGGCTTCAAAATAATGAACACATTCTCTCATTGACTGCGTTATTCATTGTGACACAATAAGTCAGCAATTTATTTTTGAAAGTGAATTAATTAAACTAAAAAGTAACTCTTGTCACATTATGTTGCAATAATTAATCAATTCCATGCGTGTTCAATAAAAAAGCTTAGAAGAGGGGTTTCTTTACTGTCAAAAATATTAGTAATTTATTAGATACAAATGAATAATTCGATTAACAGAATTCTGGTGTCTTCAATGCAATGCAAAAGTTGCATTAGGGAGGTGTGCGATAACATTCATTTCCTGATTCGTGCTTTTATACAGTATGTAGCTGATATTAACAGGTGGAGTTTAGGGGAATTCATCACTTGTAAATCATTCGCCAGTCCTCCATTGGTCGCACCCATACATGCATCCTCTTTTTCTATGAATTCTGCATTTAACTGCAAATTCTGTGCTCACAGGAAGTTTCGCTGCAGAGCTAAAGTTAATTTTGGACAATCAGGACTTTGCATTTCTATCAGCTTCATCTACTTCTCCAAAAATGCTTCATTAGTATGCAAAACATATCACACTCGAGAAGTTCAGTTAATATATCACCTTTAAGCAATACAAATACAATTGTTTAATAAAAAGAAAAAGAAGCAAAACTTATAGTCTTTTTCCACAATAATTTTTAAAGTGACTCAAATATTATTACTTATTTTATAAAGTAATGCTAATTAAGTTACTTTATTCGTTAATTAGAAAAGTAATATTATTATGTAACTCGCGTTACTTGTAATGTGTTAACCCCAACACTGCTAATATGTACATTTAAGTGTCAAAATGAATCCTTCAAATAGACCTTTTTCTTGGAATGCAAAATTACCCATTATGCTTTGCGTGTATGCGCAAGGAGAATGCGAAGAACTTCCGGTCGGCAGCTGATGCGTGTAAACAGTCACATTTGGACAGCTTTGAAACGATAGTTTTAATCTATTTTACCTGCTTTTATCCTCTTTGAACTAATACTGTTGTCCATCAGCACCATCTCCTGGCCTGATCATTTAAAGAAATGCGATCTAATAGGATGGAAAACAGCTGCTGTGAGGCGTTTTTCCCTCGTTGTCAGACGGCATCTTCTGCAGTTTAAATGAAGCCTTGTCATCGCTAAAGTCAACATTTTCTCTTAATTTCAAATATATAACCAGCCCAAACAAATGTAATTCACCAAAATGTTTGACACACACACGTAGCCTGTACTGTGCCACTGACACACTGATTTAATAACTGTGACAAAGTGGAAATATAGGCTAGTGTCATTTCGAAATGACAGAAATACACAAACCGTGGTAAAAACAACACACGAAATGAAACACAAACGGCTCGCGATTAGAATGAACAGCAAATCAGCCAGCAGAGTATCAATAACAGACTTTTATTGGTCATTTTTGTAAATTGCACGACTTTCATACCTGTTAAGTTTCATGCCAGTACTCTGGTTTGCTCTCTCACTCTCTCTCTCTCTCTCTCTCTCTCTCTCTCTCTCTCTCTCTCTCTCTCTGTGTGTGTGTGTGTGTGTGTGTGTGTGTGTGTGTGTGTGTGTGTGTGTGTGTGTTAAAGAGCCGCTGAGCTAACAGCTGACAGGCCGGGAACGCACACTGTATTTCTGACGGCAGACACGTAAACTAGGAGAACGTTTTTCTCGTATTTCTGACGCGCTTGAACCACATGTGACAGATTATAACGGCTTTAACAGACACATTTCTAAGTTGTGTGTCACAAAAACACTCTGTTATCCATTAAAAACGTTATTGAAACCTATTTTCGGAGCGCAAATTACCAGTTGTACACGCTGTAAACGGAAGTGTTTAGCATTCTACTGGAAGATGCTGGTCGCTATGGCGCCCTCCATGCAGCAGCCATGAAAAAGGTCTATACAAATGTGTACATTGTGAAGGGATAACAGCAGTGACGGCTCTTGTATGTTTCATTTCTGAGATTGTCATTCTTCATGTGTGTTAATATTGCTGTTTGCAGGGATTTGAAACTAGACAACATTCTGTTGGATGCAGAAGGTCACTGTAAGCTGGCAGACTTTGGCATGTGTAAGGAGGGAATCCTGGATGGCATCACAACCACAACATTCTGTGGCACACCAGATTATATTGCCCCAGAGGTACAGTATTTCACACCCTCACAAGCACAAATGCCCATTAGTCTCATTATTTACTGATTCATTCATATCAAAACTATAAAAGATTATTAGTATTTATAAAAACATTTTGTTAATTGACTATATCTTAAAAAAAGTCAAATTTTTACTCTCACATTAGCACAAATAGATATAGATTGATTAAGCAAATAGTGTCAATTGTCTTGATTTCTCCTGGCTTAATTTGTAAGTAATATTTATTTTCCCCAAACCATGTTTTATTACTTGAAAATCTGCAGCTTTTTCTCCATAAATGAGCACAGAAAATTGTGCTTAAAAGTGCTTTCATCTGGACTTGATCATGTGTCCTCAGCTATTTTCTAGCAGTTTTAAATAACATTGTTGTTGTTGTTTTGATGAATTTCTTGCAGATCCTTCAGGAGCTTGAGTATGGTCCATCAGTGGACTGGTGGGCTCTAGGTGTGCTGATGTATGAGATGATGGCCGGACAGCCTCCTTTTGAAGCAGATAATGAGGACGACCTTTTTGAGTCCATTCTCCATGATGACGTCCTGTATCCTGTTTGGCTCAGCAAAGAGGCAGTCAGTATTCTTAAAGCGGTATGTGTCCTGATTTACTTAAAAATCACTTGGGGGAATTCCCTAAAAATCAGACATGAGTTAGTTTACAAAACTTTTTTTCATGTTACTTTCTTAAGCATTGAGACTATGGGCCCTATTATATACCCGATGCAATAAGGCGCAAGATGTGTTTGGCATGATTTGTTGCTATTTTCAGACCAGCGCAACCCCAATTTTTACGTTTTGCACCACCTTTTTTAAATAGGAAATCCATTTGCGCCACTTTGTGGAATCATTACAGTCTATAAGGAGGAGTGTTATAGTGCATTGTTGGGGCGTTGCTATTTTAGGGAACTTAAATTAACCGCGCCACTGACCAACTGAAAAGCTAGTCTACACAAGTAGATTTGGAGTAATCAATTAACTTAAGTTGCATGTTTTTGGATGGGGGGAGGAAACCGGGGGACCTGGGGAAACCCACGCGAGCATGGGGATAAAGTGCAAACTCCCCACAGAAACGTTGGCTGTTTTTTGATAATTATATTTTATTAGATTTTTCAAGAATAACCACAAAGAAACACATACATATATACACACACACACACGCACACAACACTTGGCACTGTCTCGGACAAATCCCATACAATGAGTCAATGAACAAATAACAATGACAACATAGTGTAGTGAATTACAACAGAGAATAGAATGAAGAAGTAAAATTAAATAATTAAATATGTAAAATAAGTAAATTAAGTCTCTGAAGAGTCCTCAGAGGTTGAGTGGCTGGTTTGCTCATCCAGATAGTTAAGAAATAAATCCCTGACACTGAAATATTTTTCTATGGAATGAGTCCTCAGAAATCTCAGTCTTTCAATCTTGCTGTGAGGCAACAGTTCTAACCACTGGGCCACTATGCCACCCATCTAGAAAAGGAGGAGGAGTAGGAGTGGAAGGGGGGATTCTTCAAAACGAAGATGTCTGAGACCTAGGGCTCTTATAGTGGCCTAGGGATCGTCTGATTGGTGAATAATCAATGGGATAATGCGGAGCAGCTGCAAGTAATCATAAGCACGTGATCTTCTCGAAATTAGTTTATAAATAAACTCCACGTAATGCGTTATGTTACTTTTTAGTTACTTTTGCATTACTTTTTATTACCTGGTTGAGACTTGATCTCTTTCAGAACTCTCTTTCTGGAGGAGTTCTACAATTAACAATGCACCGTATAGCCTACACCTTCATTAAACTTAAAAAAAAACATCAAAAAATAAACTTTAGGATAATGTTATCTGAGAACTTCCTGACGTCAGAGCTATACATGTCGTTTATACAGATTAATGAAAGTTTAAAGCAACATGTTTGCTGCTTTTGTGCATGACCAATTCTTACAAGGTTACAAAGGTTACAAATTGCCATGAGATTCCAAACAACAGTGTGCAACTGTACATCCTTTATTTGTTATTGTTGTTTTGTGCAAATGGGTCATTCTTTGGCGGTGATCGGTTCACACTTGAATCTGATATCAGTTTTGTGTGTATACAGTGCTTTTTTGTGTGTCACTGTTTCCTTCACATGTCCAAGATTTACTTTGGCTGTGCTTTGTCCATTTGCAAAAGCCTTGTGGAAAAGACAGTGTGTTTGTCTTGGACAGAAACGTGTCACACAGTGATCTGTCTTAATGGCACTGTGGCCACATGGTCAACTCAAGATGTCATCTTTCCAGAGCATACATTCGTACATTAATACATTCTTACAGCACGCATACATCATCCCTGACCATCCCAACTGCATATAGTCTCAATCCTCTATTTAACAGCATCTTTGCCCAAACATTTAGTGTGTTGTTTGTCTGATTCTTTCTTTGTTTTGGCACCAATGTTTAGTTCATGACGAAGAGCCCCAGTAAGCGGTTGGGTTGTGTAGTTTCCCAAGGACTGGAAGACGCTATTAAAGTGCATCCATTCTTCAAAGACATCGACTGGGTACTTCTAGAACAGAGGAAGGTCAAGCCGCCATTCAAGCCACGTATTGTGAGTATTGCAATGTGGAATATTGTGTAAAGTCGCTCTTTAACAAAATGTTTACATTCTCCAATGAGAGAAACAAGAAAACTCCACAAATAACATGATTCCCCATCACTCTTTATCAGCTGCCGAAATATTTGTATGATTACTCTTTTTTGTGTCATTTTCTGCTTGGTAATATTGAATTGAATTAATACAGAATCAGATGGCAATATTATAAGTAAAAAAAAATCAAATACAGTTACAAATTACAAAACACCACAAACTTATAAAGACAAATATGCAAAGCATAATTAGGAATACTGTTAAAATAGTAATTATATAAAATATACATACAGTTTAAGTCAAAATTATTAGCCCCCTATTTATTTTTTCCCCCAATTTCTGTTTAACGGGGAGAATTTTTTTTTTCAGCACATTTCTAAACATAATAGTTTTAACTCATCTCTAATAACTGATTTATTTTATCTTTGCCATGATGACAGTTAATAATATTTTACTAGATATCTTTCAAGACACTTCTATACAGCTTAAAGTGACATTTAAAGGCTTAACTAGGTTAATTAGGTTAACTAGGCAGGTTAGGGGAATTTGGCAAGTTATTGTATAATAATGGTTTGTTCTGTAGACTATCGAAAAAATATAGCTTAATAATATTGACCTTAAAATGGTGTTTAAAAAATTATAAACTGCTTTTATTCTAGCCAAAAACAAATAAGACTTTGTCTAAAAGAAAAAAATATTTTGGGAAATATTTAAAATATTTATTAAAATTCAAAGGGAGTTTAATAATTCTGATTCCAACTGTATATGTAATTAGATATAAAAGAAATAATAATAATAAAAAATAATAATTAAATTAAATAAGTAGCATGATAATAAGTATAATTTTTCAGTCCATAATATTTTAGTGATATTAACGTATGGTAAACTTTAGTAACTTAGAAATCATTTGACTAAGGTCCGCCTTTAAACACTGAAAGAGTACTGCTGACGATACGAACTAACTTTGCCTCTGAATAAACAAACAAAGACCACTGATCGCTCACTTACCAAATCTGTAGAGACAGGACAATCAACACCAACTGGAGCCGCGTCTTTATTAAAAGGAGACGAGCGGCAAATCCGGATTTCACTATTTCCAGACGAGAAAAGCCCTCAGGTAAAAAATGTTACTTACAATACTGTTTCTGTCTCGCGTTGCGTGCACTGTATTCCACACGTGAGTCCAGCTGCGCTCTCATAGAGGGAAAATGAAAACCTTCACTGCAGCAAATTATAAAAGCAACACTGATGACCCTTATCTCCAAACAAATCAACGTGGCGTCTCTCTGCTGTCTGAACACTGTAACTGTAACTGTCTTGGAAGCTATCATGCATATTAATGAAGTTGCACCGCATACACAATAGAGCGTGCTGATTGGTTTGAACCAAGTCTTACTCATGAATGATTGCAGCACACTCAGAGACGTAATAAGGTACTCCCAGGTACAGACGTCCAGTCTACCTGCTAGAATACACGCTAAGATCTCATGGTCGTGACGCAGCTTCAAAAATTCTTTTCAAACCGGAAGTACGGATTTGCTCGAAATAACACAAAAACAACCGATTTTCACTTTTTAGTGAAATATATGTGTCCTAATAGTGTTTTTAGCAGTGTGGGACACATATACGACTGTCAACAGCTCAAAACATGTGTTTTGGTGTTTTGTGACCCTTTAGTTCTTGAAAACTGAGCATAGTTTCATTATTAAATTAATCGCTCACCTTACTCAAACCTTTTAAAGCCCGTATTTTATCCATTTTCTGGCCCAGGGAATCAAATCCACAGCCTTAGCTCACAACTTTCGACCAATGCGATTTCTCTGTGGGTGGCCTCTACTAACCAACATGAAATCCAATCCAAATAATCAACAAAAGGTCTTATTTCCCTTCTTGTGTTTTCAGGAGAACAGGACACAGTTAGAACACAGTTTAACTATTTTACCATAGACATACTGTAAATTCTCTTCAATTCATTTAGAATATTACAGTGTTTGGACCCTTATGGTTTTTTTAAGTGTTTGTGTCACGCTTCTGTTTTTGGTAGTGTGAACAATGTTGATATCTGAGATGCTCTCAGACTCTCAGCACACATCAGACGCTGTACTTTGATACAGAGATGCATGCTGGCTGCTGTAAGTGTGTGTGGAATGCTTCTCAGATAATGTCTGTCCGCCTCATTCTCACGCCTGCTCACGAGGCTGATGAGAGCTATTAGAGGGGTACGAGTGAAAGGAGAGGTTGGGAAAGTTAGAGCACATTTGTTTTTTTGCTTAAAACAAGGTGAAATGTCTCCACTGGGCTAATATGGCCAAGTTATTACCAAGGAAAAGCATGTTGAAAAGATGGAAGCAAGTGAATGCATGTTTAGACAGGGGCGCCTGTAGCATTACATCTGAGCATTACATCACAGAAGGGAACAATTTTTTCAAACAACACTAAAAGATCAAAAATATGTAAATGAAAATATATTCTTGGGGTAAAAAAAATCACCTATGAGGCCATGTTCCTCAGTATATCTACCATGTCCACATGTTTTAAAGGCGTATTTCATAGGCAGTGATGGGAATAATGGTGTTATAAATTTACAACATTACTGACAGAGTTACTTTTTTCAGTAATAAGTAATTGAACAAATGACTATTTCCCAACACACAACACTGTTACCATTACTGACAATAAAATGCAGCATTATATGCAACCCCAAATCAGAAAAGGTTGAGACAGTGTGGAAAACATACACACAAAAAGAGATAGTGATTTCTAAATTTACTATGACTTGTATATCATTGCCTACAATACAGCAAACATTATTAAATGTTTCCCTCAAGACTTTTATAGTTTTGTTTGTTTGTTTGTTGGTTTTTATTTGTGTGCTTGTTTGTTTGTTTTTGTTTGTGTGTTTGTTTGTTTGTTTGTTTGTTTTTGTGTGTTTGTGTGTTTGTTTGTTTGTTTTTGTTTGTGTGTTTGTTTGTTTGTTTGTTTGTTTGTTTTTGTGTGTTTGTGTGTTTGTTTGTTTGTTTTTGTTTGTGTGTTTGTTTGTTTGTTTTTGTTTGTGTGTTTGTGTGTTTGTTTGTTTGTTTGTTTGTTTGTTTTTGTGTTTTTGTGTGTTTGTTTGTTTGTTTTTGTTTGTGTGTTTGTTTGTTTGTTTGTTTGTTTGTCACAAATAAACACATATTCCAATTTTGGTTCTTACAACACATTTTCAAAAAACAGTAAAGCATTTACTGTTTGTAATGTTGCCATTCCTTTTCACAACACTTAAAAGACATTTATGGACTGAAGACACCAAGTGATGAGTGTTTCATGTATAATTTTGTCATATTGTTCACGTAAAAGTTTTATGGGCAACAGTACAAAGTCTTCATTGTTACATTTTGCACTTCAAAATGTGCCATACATTCTCTATTGGAGACAGGTCGGGACTGCTGGCAGGCCAGTCAAGTACCTGTATTCTCTACCTTCGTAGCCAGTACTTTGTAATGTGTGCAGAATGTGGTCATGTTGAAATATGCATGGGCATCACTGGAAAAGATGTCTTCTTGATGGCAGCACATTGTGCTCCAAAATGGTGCCATCACAGAAGTGCCCTTTGTCAAGGGCACTTGATTTATGACAGACCCTGGCTTCTGGACTTGTTGCTGGGAAGAGTCCGTATGATCCTTTTCTTCTTTGGTCCAGAGCACACGGCAACCATTCCACCCAATACATGAAATACTAATTCATCAGACCCCAGTTTACATTTCCACTGGACCATCCCAGATGCTTCTGAGCCCAGAGAAGTCGACGGCTCTTCTGGACACTGTTAACATAGGGCTTTCTTCTGGCACAGTACAGTTTTCACTGTCATTTGTGGATTCAGTCTCCAGTTGAAAAACAGGAGCTGCGCTGCACACACTGCTCATCATTCAGATCTGGTTATAAAACTAAAATATTAGTGTCTGAGCTTGTGCCACTTACAGTTGAAGCCTGAAGCATACACTGTATAAAAAGCACATAACCATTTTTTTAAGTCAGATGTTAAATGTGACTAAACATTTATTCTTTAAGGTAAGCTTAACACACAGAGTCGTTTTTTTTGCTTGCCTTTTTCGTACACGTTTAATGCCCCATGACTAAATAATGGCGTCAATGTGATCATGCCCACCAGCATTCAAAACGGCAGGCGTAAAAGTGTCATTTTTAAAGAAACGCCTCATGCTCGTTTTTTGTTTTGACGCACCGCAAAGTTTTGACAATTGCCGGATTTCACTTGCCAATTGTCATTAGCCCTTTTTAACCATATTCACAGTGATTGGTCTATTTAGAGGAATCCCCCATTTTACTGGTTTCTGTTGAGAGACTGGCTAAGAGGGAACTAGTCCTACACATGTTGGCAAATGTCTTAAAATACATCCGAACAATGCCCTTATGTGGTAATGATTGTATGAGCAGAATAATTGACTCTAGACCGTTGAATTATTACAGTAGATGCATCAATGACACATTACCACCTAGGATGTGCATTATTTTCCAATAATTCAATTACCTACCATCAGTTATTCTTTACATAACATTTACTGTACATTTAGGTTGTTTTTTTAGAAAGTCTTTTGATAATAGATGTATGTATATTGGAGTAAGATTGATAAGTAAGATGGGGGAGAATTACGTAATGCCACAGTCCACTTTGGACAACAATATTCATGTTGTTTTTTTATCACCCAGCTAAATCAAAATCAGTTGAAATTTAAATCAGTTGGTGTTGAGGTAATAAAGTCTAGGGGCTCTAGTTTAATGATCTAGGCACAAAGTCTAAATCGCATGTTGCAAAAGCATTAAGGGCATGTCCGAATCCACTTTTACCATTTTTAAGGGTGGAAAAATACAGTTTGGGCCACGGCGCATGGTCTAACAGGGTTGTGCTTTTTTTCCTAATGAGTTATGGGTGTGTTTTGAGCATAACATGCATTAAACCAATCAGA